TCACTCACAGAGCAGCTTGTTCTCTGATAAAAATGTACTTTTCTGAAATACATGCATGTATGTCTCTGTCTTGTTTATCTGCATGTTTCATACATCTGTCTCGATTCATGTTTCAGCAACTCAAACAGTGGGAAACAAGAGAACGCAAGAGGCATCGAGAATACGAGAAAGAACGAGATAAAGAAGAAGACCGTAAAATAGAACAAGGAAGAGAAGCAAAACGTCTGAAGGAGTTTTTAGAAGATTACGATGATGATAAAGATGATCCAAAATATTACAGGTTAGTTTGATTTTGTTGAAATTTCATCTATGACGAATATTGTTTAACATTGAGTGTTTGCTTGCAACTAAAAATATTACGATTATGATCAAAGTAAATTGAAATTAACTTCAATGAATATAATTTTTGTACGATATTGAAGCGGAGGGGTCGTCACATCACATGCGTGTGAATTGAGTCCCAACGCTTACTGGCGCATTTCCTTCTGTGAAATAGTGTGAATGGCTTACACCACTGCATTTGTACTAAACAATGCATTTGTGTTTGTTTTGATTTGGAACTTGTTCTATACTTTTCATTACCAACAAAATTAAAACCAAATACATATTTGAGGACGGGGGCTGTCAAATTTCAACCATTTGTGATGCCTATTTGAGACCTAAATAAAGGCCTTTCACTCTTGCTTGAAGCCTGAATTAGAATACTTATGGTAAACTTATATATTGTTAACAGAGGAAGTGCCTTCCAAAGACGACTTAGAGATAGGGAAAAGGAGATTGATGATGATATCAGAGACAGGAAGAAAGAAAAAGAAGAGTTGGAAGATATAAGAAGGAGATTAATGGAAGAAGGCCATCCTGATCCCGAAGCGGAAATACAGAAAGTAAGACTACCGGTAATAGTTAACTATTTAAAGCACAATCGTCATGCTATTCATATTTATTTCTTTTATTTATGGTGTTCTATTGTTATTGGCAGCTTGAGAGGGAAACTGAAAGTCACAAACAACCACAGATCATCAAGATAGAAGAACCTGAACCAGAAATAATACCAGATGTAAAACACAAATTAGAACCTACATTAAAACCAGCATATGCACCACTTCAAGTAAGTCACTTGGTTACTGTCATTGCATATGTCCATGATGTAAAATTGAAAATGTCAATATAAGTGTACCCTCTTGATAATGATAACCCAAATAATTTTGTCTGTTCAAATACCTAATGTATAATTAGCCAATTAGCTGGAATATTGCTGAGTTGGTATTCAATTCATTATTGTAATAACTGTAACTTCCTCTAATAGTCCCTGCTAAAAATCATGTTTTGGACCCCATTTTAGTCCCCAATACAACATTCAAACAATTAATTAAACAATTAATTAAACAATTTGATTAAACTTTGTTTGAACACACACATAATCATGGTTTTGATTCTTGTCTTTTTGACTTCTGATTTGATTCAAAATTCAGACATAATTTCACAGATTTTGTTAAAGAAAGACCTTTACTCAGTGGGTAGCATTTTTATGCTGAATATTCTCCCAACATTTTATTAGAATCTAAATTTTTCATAGTTCACACAGTTACCGAAAACTGACTAGGACTATGTCGTTAACAATGACTTATTTTGTGTATTTTGACTACCATAGTAGCTGGTAGAAATTTATCACTGTAAAGCAAACATTTTTTCCTAGTGCCTTCTACATGGACATGCTTGTGTATATATGTAAAGAAAATCTTTAAAACTGTCCTATTTGTGTTTACTGAACTATATACAAGGTTTAGTTGTATCCTTACGACATTTTCTCTTTCGGTATACTCATTCCTCTGTGGTTCTATTCTTTTTCATTTTATCTGTGGCATTGCAGAGGGTTCCGGAATACTCGAATGTGTCCAGCTGTTCAAAATAGATAAGTGTGGGAGTTCAGTGTAGGATCTTATACATTGTAAGATGCTGCAAGATTGTTTTATTGACAAGCTCCAATATATTGTTTATTTGCATGTGCTATCATTGCTAATGCTATATATGTTTCTGTAGGCTGCACCAGAGCCAACCATGTTACCTGTAACGCATACTCCAGAGTCAGGCATGACTGAAAATGACGACAGTGAAGGTTCTTTCTTGATAGAAGCTGCAGAACAGAAACCAAGACTTGGCTTTTCAGGCTTAAAACTTGGTAAATAAAACGATTCATTTATTATTTTTGGAGTGGGGAAGACTACAAAATAGTCTTTCCACTTTATGGAAGTGATATCAGTCATCATTTCATTCATTGTTCTCTTTCCACAAGTCAGTTTCAATTATACTATGGTGTTTCTTCTCTGAAACCACTGTGCAAGGTGATATCATGAACAATGGTGATCACATGGCCTTTTAATGATGTAATATTTTCGCCTATAAATAATCTTCGCAGATTAATTTATTGCCGCTATCAATTTGTATGATAATTGTTGGCGTTATTGGAAAACGTTTTTGCAATACACGTAGTCAATGTGACTCACTGTTTTAAAATTCCAAATGAAATCTTTGATGCTATAAATGTTTGTCAAATTTTGTATTATGAGATATTAAAACTGTTTACAGTGTATTCATTGGATATTCTTCTCTATCAACTATTCCCTAAAATTAAAAAATATTCATCAGTTAATTGTTGTCTTTGTTGCAGCTGCAGCAAATAGTCCTCAACAGGCTGGCAGTAAAAAGAAGTTGATGCTAAGTGAAGTGTTCAATGCAAATGAAGAGGAAGGAGCAGATGGGAAATCCAAGAAACGTAAACTTATACCACTTGATTACACAGAAGAAGAAATGAAAGCAGTTAGGTCATCACAGTCTGTTATTACTGCTGCTGAAGAAAAAAGGAAACATATTAAGAATCTTATTGAAAGAATACCAACTGCTAAAGAAGAATTATTTAATTATTCATTGAATTGGACGATGGTAGATGAGGTGAGTTATTTTTGTGAAATTTCACTAAATTTGTATTTGCTATCTTCAGGTTGCATGTTCTATATCGATACAAAAACACGTTTCTCTTCCATCTATATTTCTAGATTATCTCTCTCTTTCATACTCCTGTTTTGTTCATTGTCAATTCTGCTAGTGATTTTAAACATTTCAGTATGTCAAATAATTAGTACTCTTGATAAAAGTGTATGGTGCCACCTGAATGTTCATCATGTTTGTTCATTGTCTTAACTTATTATACCGTAAAACTCATTGAGTTTTTACGGTAACATAAATTGTTGGCTCAATCTTGATGCAAGCTGACCTAAAATTGTGATTTGACCACTAGGATTAACCATACACCTTATCTATGGTTGAACATTATGTGTTAATATATATTGATGCAGATAAATGACAAGCATGACAATGATCAAAACATTGTGCAATCTGACAACTGATTACTCTGCATTTCCCAAAATTATTGACACTTCTCTCTGTTTTTGATGAGATGTTAGAATAAAGACACTTTTAGATGGCTGGATACTCACTACCCCCGGTAAAATCATACTTGTATTAATGTTTTCTACAGAGCCTGATGGAAAGGCGAGTGAAGCCGTGGGTGAATAAGAAAATTGTTGAATACATTGGTGAAGAAGAGGCCACATTAGTAGATTTTATTTGTCAAAAAGTTATGGATAGAAGTACTCCTCAAAGTATTTTAAATGATGTCACTATGGTAAGTTTGTTCAAGGAAAGAGGAATTTGTGTTTGTAAACATTGAACATAAAGAAAATAAATGTCAACATCTATGAAAACTGGAACTGTCAACAACTGAATTTCAAACATTTCTGTTTCATTCGTATATTGCAAAAATGCATGTCAAATGTGTTTTTGGCCGTATTTCAGAATACTGTAAACTTTTTTAATTGCACCAGAGACAAATCTTCTTGAATTTCGTGAGTTAGTGAAAGTCGTTAAATTTGGTAGCAGTGAAAATGTTGCTCAGGTTCTCCTGACACAGTGTCAGTGACGTTCGTGAAATACTATATACTTAAATAAATCTATAAATAAATCTATTAGTAAACATTAAATGGTTTACAGTATATATGTTTTATTTATTTACAAATTATAAAGAGACATTTTCTACTCTTTTTTTTTTTCAGGTACTTGATGAAGAAGCTGAAGTCTTTGTTGTAAAGATGTGGCGACTACTCATTTATGAAACTGAAGCAAAGAAAATAGGTCTAGTAAAGTAGATAACCAATTTATTGACCACAATGTGGTTATTTTAACACCTAAGTAGTCTATTTCATTGTATAAATCAAGGTCTCAAATTCGGTGTTTTCAGTGCCCTTACTCATCAAAATTTTGGAGCTGACTGAACTCTTTGCAATGTAAATAAACAAAAAAGTTCCTTATGAATTTTAGTTTTTTCCAGCTCTAATGATTTCTTCATGCCACTTAGACCAATAATTGATGTTAAATATGTTTTCAAATTCTTTCTCAGGGTGCCAGAAACTACCCTATTAGTTTTAGGTGACTCGGATTCATTTGAATTTGGTGCAATATATTGTGTTTCACCAATACTACCGTAACTCATCAAAAATGTATAGGCCTTATTCAAATGGGTATGGTTATTTTCTGTAGAATCTAAATAACTGTAAAGAAGTCCTATCTGAGACTGTTGCCAACATGTCATAGACCTTATATGCTGCAAGTAGTTTATTAAACGAATCTTGTATTTTCTTATTTTAAACTTTGGTTTGAACTGCCACAATGTATATGTATTAGTTCAGATATGGATTAAAACATTCCTATTTGTAAATAATGAGTGAAGCTCCTCATTTGTTTACTGCACTGCATTGCACTGCACTACACTACACTACACTACACTACACTACACTACACAAAACTAAATGTTTAGCAGTACTGGTAGTTACAGCCCTCAGTGGGGGTTTGGGAGGGGGTAACATTAGGTCTGGTTTTAAAGTGCCTGTTAAATGCCTGCTACTTTCTACTGGTACATCAATATTATTAATTTTTTCTAAGCATAAAATATTTTTTTAGGTGAAAAATGGGTTTTAAACTCAGTCTACTGCAACTTTATTTTTGTGTATTTTAAAACGAAGCTCCTCATTAGCTTCTCATATGCCTACAGAAGTACCCCTGATAACGTATGAAGGTATCATTTTCAACAACAAAATCAATAACTGTCTATTTCAGTGGAACACAAATCCAAAACAGAAAATGTGTTGGTGGGCATTTCACAGGCACTTTATTTATGCCGGAGCAACAGGGAGCTAACCTGGGAAAGTTGGATGGATGGACCAAAACTTCATATTCAAAGCACCTTCTACTGACTGGAAGAGGCTCTGTATTTTCTGGGTAATACCCGAGTAAATGATTAGTTCCCTTATCACTGAAGGTGTAAGTGAAGACATGGAATTTAAATGCATAACGTGAACCCAGATATGTTGGTTCCTATTTAGATGCAATCCAAAAATGGAGCCATTCCAGAACCAGATTTTGTCGTGTATGCATGGATTTTTACAAACTCGGTACATATGTTGGACATTATGGCAATGTCTTGTTTTCAGATCAGATTGTGAACTGCTGACGAATTGTTTTAATAAATGTGGTTCTGGAGGTCTATCTGATATGCCATGTCCAAACTTTGTATACACATCTTGCACCTGTATTATTTTGACCATCAGTACTAATCTCTTTTTTTTTTAGGCACATGTGTTCACTGCTCCCTCTTCTGACTAGCAGGAATTTGCTTGTGGGTACCGCCAGTGAAATTCACTGGAGTCAATTTGAAGACAGCCAATGAAGTGTTCACTTCTACTCTGCCTGGTATCCCTGAGTAAATTGCTATTAACTGACTTATGCTACAATACTACAATGTTTACTTGGGGGGTTTGATTTGCCAAGTATTGCAGCTTGTGTCTTTCCAAGAGTAATTTGTCGTGTAGTGTAGTGTAGTGTAGTGTAGTGTAGTGTAGTGTAGTAGTGTTGCTGACAATTGTCTGCCTCGATACTGAGAAAATATGCTAGCTTATGCTACAACACTTGCCTACATTGTTTGTTGCTCGTGGTGTAACTTTGATTGACTTGGATATGATGGTATTTCATGCTGCAATGACACATTTATGTTGCCACTCTGTGTGAGCCCACTCCACTATGTTTTTACACCAAGACAAATTTTACTTTTCTGTTGGTGAGAAATCTAGCGGATTCTACAAAGTATGCTTTGAAGTTTAGTGAAATTGTTGGTGCCCCGTCCAAGTTTCATGCTGCCAAAACCAATTAGAAATTATGTCCAAAAGGTAGACGCAGTAAAACTCTTTTATATGTTGTAAATCAAATGATAGTGTGAGTATTAACCCATTTCATGTAATCAATATTGTGTTAAGATAGAAGCCTAGTCATAATTTTTGACAAAATTGGTCATAAATCGTATGACAATGTTCATTAGTTTATCATGTACATGTTTATCATGTCTCATGGTACAATGAAATGGCATTATTTTGTGTGTTAGTTATGCTTTTTGAGAAACGTGATCTAATATTTCTTAAGGTAGAGATGCAGTTTATTTGGCTTGCTTT